CTCAACCGGTACCTTGTACAATGGTGAACACCAACATTGTAGATTTTGACTTTACTAGCATTCTATCTGGATTGTATTTTTTCATAAAAGAATTTTTCCAAAGTTTTTAGTTGTAATAACTCACATATGGCTCTAATTTTGAGACTCAAATGGAATGCCTGATTAAACTACAATGCTATACTATCTAAATTCTTCTCATTGCTATTCTTAGAGTGCTTAACGTTACACTTTTATGCTCCTTTTTTTTTGCGACAATAACTTTTTTTTTTGTGTGACGGTAACAAGATGGTCGCTATAAATCATTTTAGTGTTTTTCTTTGTTTTTTGCTACGGGAAAATAGTGGTCGCTATAAGTAGTTTAGGCGGTCGTGAATAATTTGCGACCGTTGCTTTGCCGTCGCAAAAAGTATTTGCCACCCCCACATTCGCGACCCCCATTTGCCATCGCATGGCCCGTCGTAAAAGGTCTTTTGCGACTGTTTTTTATTATTTGCAATGGTTTATAGCGGTAGCAAAAAGTGATTTTTTTAGTAATGTATTTTTATATAAATGCACTCATTTTATATTTTATGACTTCAATTATTAGTATTATTATTTTTTTTTTTCACGTCAACTCTCAATTTAGGCATGGGTGATACAAATTTCATAAATTTTGACAAAATTATTAATAGTGCGGGTCAAAACTGTTTGAGGGATCATTTATTATTTTTAAAACATAAGGAGTAGAGTGTTTTGAGACCTATTTTTAAAATATTGGGGGCTTCAAGGTTAAATGCAAAAGGGATGAAATGAATTTTATCCTAAATTATACTTTGAAAAAAGTGCATGCATTTTTATTTTTATTCGTTAGATTTAAAAACAAATCTAAGCCATTATTATAGCCACATTAGGTCATAATAAACAATGTTTTGGACTACAACTGAATTCCAACATCACATAATTAAATACTACAATAATTAAATATAACTAATTTTAATTTGATAATTTACTGACTCCATTACTACAATAGCCTATAACCAAACATCATAATAATCTGTAACTAACACTACAGGAAATTAGACTTTTAATAAAGTCGCTAAAAGCTTGAAAAATGCCATAAAAACTAACAGCGACGTGTAATATTTTGGTCGTTGATACGGCTGCCGCAATAGCTTTACAACGTTTAAAAAACGTCGCTAAAAAAATTAGACGGCGTTTCTTAAAATGCCGCAAAATCTTTGATGCCCGTCTCACCAGTCGTCGTCACAAACTAACGTGTGATGTCACAATGACGTCATTTAGTGGTTTTTTTTTTTTCAAAAAACGCCACTTTTATATATATATATATATATATATATATGTTTTACCATATAAAACTGAAAAAATAGACCAACTCAATTCCCATAATTTGCTTTTGCAACAATACATACCAGTGAAGCAAAGATAACATATTGTTCAATCTGAAGTACCAATACAAATTAATAGCTTTAAAGCACAATTCCCAACAGTTGCTTTTGCAACAATACATACCAATGAAGCAAAGATAACATACTGTTCAATCCAAAGTACCAATACAAATTAACAACTAGAAAAAAAAAAAAAAAATCCAATACAATCCAAATTAATTAATGGTGATATACAAACGTTCCCCATTTTTAACTGATTGACTCATTATACAATACAATCCAAACTTCGCATAATGGAATCCAAATTTTGCCATAATCAAAATTGTTTTAAAATAATTAAGAACTCACCTCACATCGTCTCTCGAAAAAAATATACATAAAAAAAAAAAAAGCCTCTCTTTGGTGGATTTGTAATGATTTTTTATCGCTTTATCAACTCACAAGTTCGTTAAATTTTTTTAAGCTCAAATTTAAATTTAAAATAATTCTAATCCTAGTAAAAAATAGCGAGTCTATAATAAATTTTAAAATTTTCTCACAAATTAAATTTGATGAAATCAATCTCTAATTGATCAAATCATTCATAAAAATATTTGATTTTAATTCAAATCAAAATTTCCAATTATATTTTCGGTTAACCACATCACAATCTGCCCTGGTGATCCAACGTTTAATGCAATTACTAATGTATCCAAGATATACGAGTATCAGGACATGGATTCGAAACGGAAGATCCCCAAATATGTGCTGCTAATGTATCTGAAATATACGAGTATCATTATGACATTGATTCGAAATCGGAAATTTTGTTTTGGTTTTATTGTAGATGGTTGCGTTTTGATTTGGTTTAGTAGTGTCAATGCCAACAATATGTTCAATTTGGTTGCTCATTTAATTATGGGTTTTGATAGGTCATTTCATGTATAAATTAAAGGGTTTTGATTTCTTATTTAGGAGGAGGCGAAGAGGAGACCATTGCCAGATTACATTGAGATGGCCCAGAAGGATGTGAGCCCTAACATGAGGGCAATTTTGGTGGATTGGTTGGTAGAGGTTGTAGAGGAATACGAGCTTCACTCTGATACTCTGCATCTATCTATCTCTTACATTGATAGATTTTTGTCAATGAATGATCTCAACAGGCAGAAACTCCAGTTGCTCGGTTTTTCTTCAATGCTCATCGCATCTAAGCTCTCTGACCTCTTAAACTGCTTGATGTTTTTGTAAAGATAATCAATTTGGATGATTGGTACTTAAATTTACTTGTTCAATCTTGATGAGCTAAAAGTATGAGAAGATCAACCATCCACCTGTGGATGAATTTTGTTACCTAACCGACAACGCATACACAAAGAAAGATGTGGTAAAAATGGAGGCTGACATACTCAAACATCTCAAGTTTGAAGTGGGCGGTCCCACAATTATGACATTTTTAGGGTATTACTGCATTGTCAACATACAATCTTTCTTTTCATCGGTGATCTTGCAATTCAATTGCCTAATTAACGTTGCCTTCTTGCTTGTTGTTTATTTATTTATTATTTATTTATTTATTTTATTTTTTTTGTGTGCAGAAGAGTCACTGTTGTTGCTCAAGAAGATTACCAAGTAAGCTCAACTCTCTCTATTGTGTGCGTGCGTGTATGCACGTGCTGCCTATTTTGCTTGCTGATTTTTGTTATTGACTTGTTGGGTACTTATTAATGTTCTTGTTCTTATGCAGATTCCCAATTTGAAGTTGGAGTTCTTGGGTTATTACCTAGCAAAGTTAAGCTTGTTGGAGAATGACTGTGTGAAACTCTTGCCTTCTTTGGTGGCTGCATCTGTAGTATTTCTTTCACGGTTTACAATCCAACCAAAGTTACATCCTTAGGTAAGAGCCTACTTTTGAATACTTCAAGTCTCAGGCTTATGATTAAGCTCTTGATTAGCAAGATGTAAATTAATCTTATGTCCTTTTACAGAGTTCAGCCCTGCAAGATTTCTCTAGCTACAAACCCGCTGACCTAAAGGAATGTGTTCTTATCATACATGATTTGCAATTAAGTAAAAGGGGAGGTTCTTTGGTTGCATCAAGAAATAAATACAAGCATGATGAGTTATATACATGTTTCTGAACTTGTTATTGGCATTGTAGTGAATGGTCATCTTTAAAAAAGGCTATCTAATTGAAATTTAATAACTTCCTTGGAACAGTTCAAATGTGTCTCAACATTGTCCTTTCCTCAGGAAATACCGAATTCTTTTTTTGAAGATGTTAAAGATTCATAGTGAGGGTCAGGAGAATTAGTTGATCTTGCTTGCTTGATTGATGGGGAGATGATTGTCTTGAAGAATGTTCTTGCATTAGAAGGTTAGCTAATTCAGAAAACTCCCACTGGTTAATCGGGTTTGATAATTGCTGGTCGTTTCATTGATTTTGTTGTTTTGAGCTGCTAGTGTGATCAATTTCTGTTGGACTAAAAAAAGAGGGCATGAATGGCATTGCTGAGACGGTGGTTACTAATATTAGTAATAATTGGATAGGAAGTGTGGGATTTTGTTAACATATGGTTCATTGCTTAATAGTTTCTGATTAGGTAGTCTCACTATCTGTTTTTTTTTTTATGATTTTCAAATTATTCGTACTTTACAAAATATGCCACTAGTTGATTTGATGGATCACTGTAGAATGACATGTGACGGAGATGCATTGGTTCAGTCAATAATTGTAGCATTTGGAGAAATGAGTTGACTCTCTAATTTTTTTTGACTATTAGCATGGGTTAAAATTTTTTTGTTTAAGTTAATTTTTTTAATATTTATGAGAGAAAAAAAATTATAATTTAAATGTGATATGTAATTTTATTATTTTATTTTATTTTTTAAGATTACTTCAACTTTTTAACCTCCCAACTGAACATACCAATGAGTGGTATATAAGGACTATGGTGAGCAAAGTAGAGCCATGTTGAGCAAAGTGACAAAGCAATGCGTGAGCCCACCTTTATCAGTGCCAAGATGGGCTTCACTCATATGGTCTAAAGTGATTAATTACAAATTTTGAATCAAACCCAAAGGTTTCACGGATCAGGTATGAGTTTTGGAAGTATGCTTTTTTTTAACCGTCGTTTGACTCCTCTCGTTAGTAAATATTTTTGACAAGATTTGTGATTTAGAGGTCTGCATCTTTAAGTTTTAGGTTTCACTCCTCCCATTAGTAAATTTTTTTGATGTGTCTTGAGATTTAAAGGTCTGTTTCTTTCAAGTTTCAAGTTTGATTCTTTTCATTAATAAATTTTTTTAAGGTTATGAATTGTAGAGAATAAATTCTATTTTGAAAGGTTTGTTTAAACTATAATAACTTAATCTGGTTCAGACAAGTTGATTAGGATACCTACATAAATAAACAAAAATATTAAAAAAGGGAAATGCTTTGGACTATTTTTAGTATTGAAAATTTGAGTAAGTATCTATATAACAATGGAAGGGTGAGTTTGAATCTTTCATATATTTTTGTCCTACGTGGCATTCATTAACGGCTGAGATGATTCTTGACTCTAGATCAGATGGTCAAAATGTGTTGTTAACCAAAATGGGTAGTTCTCAATGCTTTGGTTTCCCGCCCATGAAAAGAGTACCAAACACACCTCAGACTCTCATTTCCAGCCGTCCTCCATTCTTTCTCACATCTTTGATTTCAAAATTACAACTTCCTCTCCGTCTCAGTATGTGATGGTTTCGATGGCTTCAATTCAAGCTTAGGGTTTCTTTTACCGTGTGTGTTTGGAAGAGCTACACAGAAATTTTCTCGGGGCAGAGAAAGTCCCAGAAAATGGCGAGAAACAGCGCACAGGGCAAGAAACAACACTCCGGCGCTTCAACCGCCTCCACCTCCGCCTCCGCCGCCATCAGAGTTAGATCCAGACCCGATCCTTTCTTGGTCATTTGTCGATGCTTCAGCATCGTAACCTCTGCGACTGCCATTCTCTGCATCTCTGTCAACATTCTCTCTGCCATTCATTCCTTCAAAGATGGATCTGATGTATGTAATCCCCCCTCCCTCTTTCTCTCTCTCTCTCTCTCTCTCTATATATATATATATATGCCTCTGGATTTGTATGTAAATTTATTGTTTTGTGGATATTTGTAGATATTTGATGGCATATTTCGGTGCTATGCGGTTGTGATTGCAATGTTCGTGGTCGTTGCCGAGACAGAATGGGGATTCATCAAGAAGTTCTGGAAGGTTTACTTTCCAATTTTGGATTTTAATTTGTTCTACTAAATTTTAATTTGTTAGAGATTCGAGTGTTGAAGCATTTATGTATCTGGATTCTGGATCAATTTCAGATTTCACTTTCTTCATTCTATCCTTCACAAGGTGATCTTGGTTGGTTACATGAGATTATAGTGGAAATTTTACAAATTTCATAAAACCTATTCACTTGCTATCTATGTTGACTCATATAATCGATAATTTTACATGAAACATATCGTCATAGCTTACACTGTAGTTATTGGTTTTGCATGCCAAGTTTTGGGTAAAACCTTAGCTTGGAAACCCTTTGGTTTATCACAAAGCTCACATTATCTTGGATTGATTTCAATCAATTATTTGCAGGTGTTGGAGTATTGGGCTGCTAGGGATATGCTGCAAATCGATAATGGCTCACATTTTTTGTGTGTTCCTGTTATGTGGCCCCTGTTTATGAAGATTCTGCATCAACTTATGGCCCCTGTCTGTAATGGCATTTTGTAGTTTAACAGGAACACACAAACTGCCATAACTTATGGCCATTATAGACATTATAGATTTTGCATCAACATAACAGGAACACACAAACTGCCATAACAGGAATGTTACAAAATGCCATGTTAAGTTTGCTTTGAAATCCTTGACTTGGGTTCATTTCTGTTTATCATCATTTCTGGTTCACGGTTTATTCATATCATCTGTGCAAGGTAAGATTTCTGTCTCTATTCCCCTTCTCTCTCTGTTCCCCTTCGTTGTATTCTCTTGCCATTTTGCCTAAAAATATCATAATAGATCAGGACCATTAAAATGTCATTGATTGAAAAAATATCATGGATTGAAGGGTAAAAAATCTGCTGATCAACATTTGGTTCTCTTGCTGTTCATTTTTGTCATTTTCAATTATGATTTAATATAACTTGGTGACTGAGGGAAAATTTAAAGTTTGGTGAATGATGTGATGGCCAAAGAAAGAACACTCCGTAAAGGTGTTTTTCTTCATGGGTTTTATAGGTATGTTTTTAGTGTTGTCCCAAACTACTTTCAGAACTACAGAATCCAGATTGACAGTAAATCAAATTCGTTGGCAATACCACACAGAGGAAGCATTTGGGATGAAGACATGGGTGTTTGGATCAGTTAGACAATCAGTTAGCCAGTGACAGGTCTGTTATGAACCCAGATGGGAACACCATCTGAAGGCACCTCACATTTTTCCAATAGAATGGGATAGGCTGTAATAGAGGGGTAGCCCCACCTCTCAAATTTCAATTCCATAATTTTATTAATGAAAAAGTCTAGAAACACATATACTGATCATATGAAAATTATGTCCGATTTTTAGAAACACAGAAACTAATCATATAACAATTGCCTCTGATTTTTAGATTGGTTTCTATGCAAAGAGAAGTACTGTTTTATTTATATACAGAATTAACCACTAAAATACAGTAACAATTTAGAATTATGATGGGGCAAAATTTAAGTGTAGTAGTTTATAATTGTTCAATGACAAGCTCCAATGTTTAATATCTGTAGTTATATTTTTTTCCCGTGTATCTTTTGTGATTAATTTTATGATTAGTTTTATTGTTGTTGAAACTATGATATGGGTAAAGGTAGAAATTTCAAATATTCATGGATTCCGCTTGAAATTTCAGATTTTGGCTTGAAAGGCTTGCGAAGAAAGCAGAAAGTTTTCAGGTGAGATTCTAATTGCGAACATATTGAGTTTGCTTTGAAATCCTTGACTTGGGTTCATTTCTGTTTATCATCATTTCTGATCAACATTTGATATGCTATAAAATAAAATCTGCTGATACATATCAAATTTTATCAAACAAAATTTCTTTGTATCAATAAATTTTATTCATATCATCTTTGGGAATTGCATAGTGTGCTTGCCACCCCACAAAACCACCCTTGAGAAACTCAGAGATAGACTGTCTGAGATTTTCTTCCCAAATGATCCTCTTCACAGATTCAAGAACAAAGCATGCTATCAAAAATTGCTTCTGGGTCTTCAATTTTTCTTCCTTGTTTTTCAGTGGGGACCCAATTATAGTCTAAATCTTCTAAGGTCTGATGTCATCTCTGGTCTCACCATTGCAAGCCTTGCAATCCCACAGATATATATATGTATATATATAAGATACCAATTATGAAAACTTTAGTTAGGTCTGTTTCAATTAGATATATGTATATATGTATATATATAAGATACCAATTTGATTGGCAGCAATAGCACTAACTGGTGTGCATTTTAGTTTTAATTTCTTTTAAATTGCAGAGCACTGGCTGGTGTGCATTAGTTGATATTTAATTTTTTTTATATTTGATTTGTTTGGAATTGTAGAGTATAGTCTGTTAAATATATTTTTATAACTGTATTTTAATCTTAATATTATTTACACCGTGCCTTTAGGCACGGGCATACGCTAGATTATTATTTACACTGTGCCTTTAGGCACTGGCTGGTGACAAACAAATATGATTATAATATTATAATAAATTAAAATTTTGATTGGATGGGTTAAAGTTAATTTTTTTTTTCTTCTTCCCTTTACCCCTATGACTCAACTCAATATATTTTAGTTTCGTTGGGTGAAAATCATCTCTTATTTTGTACAAGAGCTGAACCTATTCTTTCCTTTATTTATTTATTTTCTTTCTTTCTTTCTTTCTTTCTTGATTATCAGGTTATCCTTTATGTTTACTTAACTTTCATTAGCTGTTAATGGATGCAGTTATATTGAATTTATTGACAGTATATTCTGTGTCATTTAGCAGGTTCATGTATAGTCCAGTGTATAAATTGTTTTCTTCTCAGTTTCATGAAACCCCATATTTCACCTCCTCTCGTTTCATATATATCTATCGGGTTATAATTTCTACTGGGTTTTGTTTGTTTTGATGTTTTTGTGAAGTTTAAGGTGCCATTTATGGGTACTCTATTTCTTGAAATTAACTGTTCTATTTTCATATCCCTATTATATAAAAAATGGGTATAGGCTGATATGTTGCATTTACTTCCCTAAGATTTGAATCGGAGAAAGAAAGAGAAACTTTTGTAGTAGAGAATAAACAGAAGATATTTGTAGTTTCAATTATATTCTTAGCAATAAAATTTGATGTTATCTGCCACTTTAACAACAAATTTAGTACATCACTAAATTTGTCTTTCTTGGGTTAATAAAAATCCCGGTGGTATAATTCCAAAGGGAATGGTTACCTTATGCATATGATTTTTTTCTTCTTTTTTTTTCTATAATTTTTTTTTTAAAAAAAAAAATTCTATTAGTAGCCATGCATATGTAAAGGCTATTCGTGCTGCTCAACATTTCATCTATATTGAAAATCAATATATCATAGGGTCTTCATACAATTGGAGCTCCCATAAAGACATAGGTAATGAACTATTCCCTCACATGCAAAACTCATGATGTTTATATTTCTTTTTCTGAAAGCACAAATGATAGAATCTTCTATAGACCGAAGACTACCCAACCAAAACTTAAAAAAGTTTTATCTGGCATTTTTGTTTATGTTATGCAATATTAGATATTATGGTGTGAAAAAATTGATGCAATCTAAGAATACCCGGTGGACTTGAGCATGGTTAATGATTATCTCAAAACTAGATAGTTGAAGTCACTTTTGGCATGAAATTTGGTTTGCAGAAGTGGCTTACAGACTCCACTAAGTGTATATACACTCCTATATGACGATTTCATTGCATAATTGAATCTCAATCTCTCTTTCTCTCCGAAGAAATATGGAACAAGAAACTACAATGGAGGAGGCATTGCTCTGGTGTAAAGAAAGTGAGGGAGTGGGTTGATTAAAAATAAGGATTGTGGGTTTGAAAGTGGAAAGATGAGAGAGAGAGAGTGGGGTACATGATGGGTATGTGATAAAATAAAATATAAAATCAGTGGGTGGAGCATATGCATTAGCATAATTAAATCCATGCACCCGAAGAGGACTCTCTCATCCACCGCCCAGACCACCATTGAAATCGATTCCCTTTATGAGGGTGTTGGCTTTTACTCCCCCATTAGCCGTGCCAGATTTGAGGAGCTCAACATGGATCTCTTCAGAAAGTGTATGGAACCAGTTGAGAAGTGTTTGAGAGATGCTAAGATGGACAAGAGCACTGTTCACGATGTTGTTCTTGTTGGTGGATCTACCAGGATTCCCAAGGTCCAGCAGCTATTGCAGGACTTCTTCAATGGGAAGGACTGTTGCTTATGGTGCTTCTGTCCAAGCTGCTATCTTGAGTGGCGAGGGTAATGAGAAGGTTCAGGACCTCTTGTTGTTGGATGTTACCCCACTTTCCCTTGGTTTGGAAACCGCTGGTGGTGTTATGACTGTGTTGATCTTTGTATGTAGAGAAGTCGCCTCTGGTGGCGGCGAACTGGAAGCTATATGTATTGATAGAGATGACAGCGGAATAGGTTGAGGACCGGCGGATTAGGTTGAGGTCCGACGGGCGGCCAAGGCGAGGTTGCCGCCCGCCGGTGACGCGAAAAAAAATACTAAACTCTTAACCTTGCTCTGATACCATGTAAAAAATATATGTATTATTGATTGATATATTGTTATTGTGTGTTTATTACAATTACAAGGATTCCTATTATATAGGAGTGTGTTTGGGAGTAGGTGAAGTGGAGGTGGTAGTGGTGTAGTGGGTTAGGTTTAGTGGAGTAGGTGAGGTGGTAGTGGTGGTAGGTTTATGGTAAATTCTAACAATTTTGGATGCTAAACTATGAGCCAATTTTTGTAGAGCAAGCTCTCATTTATCAAGGTGGATATGGAGGAGATTATGGTGGAATGTCTAATGAATTTCAGAGGTGAGGTTCAATAATGGCTTACAGAATATTGATTTTCTAAGGACCTATTCAATAATTAATTGGGGTGATAACTTCATATTTTTTTAATAATTGTGGGTTCAATTGCCCTTGCGTTGGGGCTCTATTGTTTTAGCTAAGAATGAAAGAAAAAAGGCTGATTGGGATGCCATGAGAGGAGGATATGTTACTATGCTTCTTTTTTTTCAGCACTATTTATTGAGTGTTAACATAACATACATTATTGGGCTCATCTATTGACAATTTAAGCTTTTGGGATAACTGGTGATCTATCCGTTAATGAATGAGAGCATGGTCACATGTGAGTGGGAGTGTTAAGGATACAAATAATGAAGTTACCCATACATCTTGATGAAGTTACTCCTTTCTCTAACAGCATAAGCTTTTAATGTGATGGTAGTGAAACTTGCTTGGTTGTAGCAAACAAGGAGACTGGTTGAGGATTTTTTTTGTGTCTTTACTTACGGTAGACGGTTTGATAGGATTAGGTAGTTCTTTTGATTTGCTACATCGTGTTTTAGTTGAGAGTGAAGTGGCCTTTGATATGACAATAAATAAATTCTTTCCTAAGCTTTTATGCCTGAAATTCCTTTATTGAATTTCTTTTGAATTGTGAGCATATTTTCTTGCTGTAGGTGCGAACAATTTGATTCCCATGGAAATTGCACTTAAAATTGCTGAGAAAATCAAAGCACGTGAGAGGTTTGTAGCTTATATTGTTATTCCGATGTGGCCAGAAGGCAATCCAACAAGTACTGCTACACAAAGGATTTTATTTTGGCAGGTATGAACCAATTATGACTTCAACGCATTGCATTGTGCTTCTACATTTTAAAGGCAGCTTCAGAGATGGATAACTTTGTTGCTTTTTTTTTTTCATTGGATTAATATGGGAAATCAAGAAATTCTATTAATCTGCCCATCAGTGTATATACTTCAGAAGGATCAATTTTTGATTTTGAAATTATCTCTCATTTATTGTACAGAACAAAACAATGCAAATGATGTATGAGACCATTTACAAGGCTTTAGTGGAGGTTGGGCTTCAGAATGAATACACCCCACAAGACTATTTGAACTTACGTTCATATTTGGAAAGCACCGGTGTGCATTGTTTGTTGTTTGGTCTTAAATTACAGATGATTGGTTGGTGTGCATTGTTTGTTGTTTTGTTTTAATTAAATTATTTTAGAATTGCAGAGCACTGGCGTGCATTGTTTGGCATCCAATTTTAATTTTTTAGAATTGTAGAATATTAGCTGGTGTGCATTTGGTTAATTTTATTTTATTATAATTGCAGAACATTAGTTTACCATTTTAATTTTAATGAACATTATAAATTTTATATGTTTATTCCTTAATTTGCATTAAGACTAGGGGGAGTTGTTATTTTTAATTGAATTCTGTAGAGGGTATGGTACAAACAAAATTATTAAAAGTTCTTTAAAAAGAAAAAATGTTGCAGACTCCACATGTTTTAACATGATACGTATATAAATTACAAATGTATTTCGATCTTAATATTATTTACACCGTGCCTTTAGGCACGGATATACACTAGTATATATATATAAATAAATAAAATAAAGTGATATATAACAAAGTAGTATTTTCACTTTTAATTTCATTAAATTAGATTAGCGATTCTAATCCTGATAAGAATGCTATTCTTAGCATGTGAAGGATTTATAATTCCATGCCATCAATTATATCAATTTTATTTTATTTTTTTAAACTCCAACCCTATAATCTATAGCTAAAAAATTGGCATTTGTGTTGTCATGCAGCAAGTGCAGAGGTATGCATTCATTTTACATAACAGCGCTGCTGCAGACCTCTAATTAGAGGTGCAGCTGTACAGTAAGAAAGGAAAAAAAAAGACAAATTAAAACTCCATTAATGGTCTTTTTTTAGACGGCTGAATCATTTTTCTTTACATAAAAGCGTATATGTGTTGTCTGTCTGTCACATGAATGATGGAACTTGGTGGGCCACCCTTGCTTCATAATACAGCTTTCAGGTGGCCTCTGGTTGAAATATATTTTAAATGGTTAATTTGCTAAGATCTCATTAATTATTAATTATTAATTAATATTACTTTATTACTTTCATTTATGAATCTAAAATATATTAAAATTTTCAATTAAAAAATCGTGTATCCGTTTCAAAAGTTATCTGTAAAAAATAAAAATGATACATTTTTATAATTGAAAAGGTAAAAATGTTTCAGTTCATAGGGGTAAAGTGAGACGGTCTTAGTGTAATTAACCCTACTTAAAAAGAATCATGCTAAAATTAATTTTATTGAATTATTGTTAAGGTAAAAAATAATATGAAAACTATTAAAATTTAATTGTAGTTCTTTTTTATATACTTTTGTTTTTTTTTTTTTGCACATAAAGAAAAACTAATACTGATTGCCATTGAATGGTCATTAACATTTTATATTTTAAAATAATGATAATATGGATTATTATTATTATTATTATTATGAAAAAAATATTTAAAGAAATGAAACTAAAAGAGAAGGAGAAACAAGGCAGGCAGGTGGGAGAGGCATCATTATTGTCAATAAAATGTTGGCTTTAATCTAATTTATCATTTCAGCAAGGGAACTTCACTTGGTAACTGTTAATTTAATTGGCATTTTAATTTAGGAAAACTGTAATGACAATCCAAGTGGTAGTCATTAATCTCAATAAAGAGAAAAAAAAAATCTTTTAAATGTGTAAAAATTGTTTGAAAATATATAACATAGTATGGTTCATTCATTCTACATCATTCCATTCTTATTTCAATGAATTAAATACCATCTAACATATTTAGAAATGTGTAAAAATATCTCTTCCTATTAAATGTTGGAATGGTTATAAAATTCTGGATAAAACCAGAATTTTTTCCTAAGTTCGGTCTATTTTTTAGGTAGGCCCCGAGTGTCGATTTACTCGGGTCAAAGTGGTAACGCGTTCTATGCCGCGTTGTGATTCACGTGGTATATTTGGTTGAAATCTTTTAAATACAGTGAAGATTGTCCAACATTAAATACCATTATTCCATTCCATTCTCATTCTATTTTATATCATTCCATTCTCATTTCAATGAATTAAATATCATCTAACATATTTACAAATGTGTAAAAATACCTCTTCCTATTTTAGCATTTTTTTTCTTCATATTAATGATGGAGAAGACTTCAGTCTAATCCAAAATTTTTATGTCATTAAATCATATTATTTATAATAAAAAAAAAAGATGACATATATAGCTTTAAGTATATAATAAAACAATAAAATATCATACTACAATTATAACATTGATTTAATTTTTTTTATGACTGATTTATACACCAAAATATAAAAAAATAGACATAACTATATTTTTAAAATAAAACCTATGATAGATCTCACAATCTCAAACAACATGATCCAATTCATGAATAGATTGGGGAGAAGACTCTTCCCTAATGAAAACACAATGGGTCATTAGCCCATTTAGTTATCAATAAATATTTTGATTAGTATCATGTTTAATGTATATTCAGTGAATTATTGGACCAATAAGTAGTTTTCTTTACTTTAAGCCCAAGTCAATGGAAGCATAGGTTTTCAATTGATAGCAGAATCACCACCATCTAGAATGGTAGTGTTTGGGAAGAAAAAAATAAATTTTTTTGGCTAAAATTTACAAAAAGATAAAGTCCTTTTTTGGCATGTTGGGTTTGAAGGGTTTTTGGCTAAAATAGTCATAAAAAGATAAAATAGACTAAAAAATTAATAAGAAAAAATATCATATTTAAATCATAATCATTTCATTTTTTTCTCACAAAAGTCAAAAAGCCCAACTCAAACGAGGTTTTTAGTCCCAAGCCAAAATTGCTAGAAAGTTAAAAAGTTAATCCACTTTCCAAATGAAATCAAAACATGCTACTAAGACAAAATGTTGTATCAAATCTATAATAATTTCATTTTTTTTTCCTCACAGACATCACATCTAATTACAAAAAATCTAACCCATTTTCTAAATATAAATATTTTATCTATTAAAATAGAAAAAAAATTAAAATAGCCAATTTCCAAACGAAATCAATGTGAAATTGAACCTAAAAAAGTAACCAAAAGAGATGGATATAAGAGCATCCACTACCAGTTTCTTCAAATTTTTAGTCAAATTAGAGCTGCAAAACCTATTTTGCTACTTTAGCTAGTCACCCACTGCATCAAACTCTTTATTCTAAATCAATCCTATTAAAATATTATTTTGTTATTGTATTTTTTATTTTTTATTTTTTATTAAATTGATGAGCAGCAGCCAAATAATTCCTAAAAAAAAAAATAAAAAATTGTTATTGACCGGCCGGTCGACCGATTAGGCTAATTTTCGGCATTTTTCTTCTTCTGCTATTTGCACTCACAGGACATCCGGTGGGATATTCGGGAGGACATCCGGATAGACAACCGGTTTAAAGATTTTGGCCCAGTTTTGCTCCAAAAAATATAATAAAAAAACATGTAGCAAATGAACAGTGTCTCAACAAAGTTGTTGAGGTACTGTAGTAAATTTAACAAAAAATTAATTTAGAAAAAATTTGTTAAGACTGATGAAAGAAGAATTTGATAATTTATTAGCTATATTTTAACTTTTTGTTATTTTATTAATCCCGATGTGAATGCTCTAAATTTTTAATAAAGAAGAAGATGACACCAGATGCCACACCCACTAAACATACTCAATGCAAAATGACATTTTATCTAATCCGCATAGCAGCTCAACTTTTAGTCTTTTAATTTTTTTTTAAAATCTTTTTCTTCAATTATTTTGAGATGAGATCTAAAAGAGCAATGTGTACGACACAGAGTGGTTGACGTATAGATTAGACGTTTTTTTAACTGAGGTGAGAATTTAATGTAGTAATGATTTATTTCTTTAATTTTAGAGTTTTAATTAAATTTTAATGATATGATAAGGCAGTGAAATCTATTCTCATTAGAGCTCTCCTTTATTAGAGCCCCGAATCATTTTTTAACCTAATGTTTATATTCAAGTCTTATATTATTATTGTGCAATATAATTATAACTTTTTCTTTCACTAATGCTAATTGTTAAAACTAAACAGTTAAAAACAAAGTGCGGTGTGTATGATTAAACACAACCCTTGATTTTTCATTAAAAAAATTGCTAAAGCAAATACAAAATAAATACTAAAATTTGACCAAATTATAATGATGTCCAACAACTACCATAGAAACATATTAATATGAAGCTTACTAGTGCTTAGTGACAGTGTGAAAGGTCCTTTTAAATCAGGGGAATATTCAAAGACCAAATGCGCATTGTCATTTGATAAATATAAAAAGAAAATTATAAATATGTGTCCAAACTGGTCATGTTTTTAAAAAAGGAATATGGGATTTTCTAAATGAAGGATATTGTTAGAACTCTCCAAGTTTGTTGTGAGCTCATCTTGATGATCTGATTCATTCTTTTCTTTAAGTCTTTTTGAAAAAAACTATTCATATAAAAATTAAATTAATTGAATAACTATACCCATATTATCAGATCACATTTCTCTTCTAAAAATAGATGATAAGAATATAATTTTAATAATATCATTCATTATTTTGAAAACAAATATGATTTGATTATGTAGTTATAATTATCAATTTGATTTTTGCATGAATAAGTTGTTCAAAAAGTTTTAAAAATAAACGATTTGGATTATCAAAGTGGAGCCAACAATGAGTTTACAGAACCCCAACAACACTCTTAATTTAAGATCATGAATTAGAGAGAACCTAATTCATTTTGAGAACTCGAATAACAAAATGCAAAATTTTAAATACAATACAAAACAGGTCTAAATGAGTCACAAAGTGCCCTCTTTATTTTTCATCAATAGCAAAAAAACCAAAAATCATAACGTCCCAAATTAATTTCCATTTGAAAAATGGCAAACTAAAAATTACAGTACAAGTCAACGGGTACCTTGGTCATTGCACCATTACAATAATTTTTTGGCACCATAGCATGCCATGCCATCCACCTCACTTCACTTTGTAACAATATATAAATGGTCCTATATCACAAGAAGCCAAACCAAAAGCAAACCAAAGCCAATCTTCTGGGCTTTTCCCATTTTTTTGAGAGTAGAAAACCTCCGGTGATCAGTTTTCCGATCAGCTAGAGTCATAAATGGTGAAGATCGCGTTAGGAACCGGCCGAGAGGCCACACAGATTGACTGCATCCACCCTCATTG